ACTATCACTGACATCTCATATTTCCATAAAGGAATACATTTTATTGCTTTTGATGACATAAGCCTGCATTGGTAAAGAGAAATTAGGTGACTGTTGGACTCTGCTAAAGAAATTAAACCTAGATTTTAACTGATAAAGCATAATATGTGTGTCTTTTATATAATGTAACTATATTATCTTTCAGCTTTTTAGGTAAAATTGAATTAAACATGACATTTGGAAGTAGAAAGACTGTTTACGACTTCGAGAAGTATATCTGCATGCATACAGTATACTTGTGTATGGGGATATATACTATATAGCAAATCTCAACTGTAAAAAATGACAGTGAATTTAACTGTAAAAGACTGTAAAAATGCTACAGTAAAAACCTGTTAAATGGTTAACGGTAAATTCCCCTACTATATACGGTGAAAAACTGTATTGGACATTACATGTATTGGACATAAATTTTACGGTAGTATACCATTTTTGGAAGTGAAAAATACCGTATAATTTACAGTGAATAACCGTAAATTGACATTTCCCAGAATTCCCTGCGTTACATTTCAAATGTGATGTTTTTTTGGTGTTTTTCTTATCAGTTTTGTATATTAGGGTTGTGTGTTACACCTAATGTTGTTAAATGAATGTTTATTGCATTATTTCAGTTTCATGTGTGTTACCATGATTACCTTCTATATATGTTATTATTTAAAAGCTGCTTGTGATGGGCTTTGGTTCATCGTGACTTTCTCATCACCACCTGCATTTGGTGGTTATCAGTGTATTATAAAGGTACAAAACAGATTTCAATAGGTTGGGATATTAACATTATATCAGTTCATGAAATTACGGTATTTAACTGTAAATTTAAGTTAAAACCGTAAAACTTAAAATGTTGCTACCGTATTTTTTACGGTAAAATTCCGGCAACCACAGCTGCCGGTTTTTTACCGTAAATTGTACTGATTTATTTTTACAGTGCTTGATTGCTTGTATCGCCACATAACATGAACTATATTGTCACTCAGTTTTAACCTGCTAAATGTGGCTAAGTCATTAAGATATTAAAATATGATAAGCGTTAATATCATGATTTTCTGTAAAACCACTTTGAAACATTGTGTAGTTTGGAAAGTGCTGTACAAATAAATTTGAATGTAGTTAATTTGACCAGTTTTTTAAAAACTAAATGTCCTTCTATTTCTCTTTTCTGTATCTTAGGAGATAATGGAGGTCTCTGTTGGTTTAAATCAAATATCAACTTTGTCTAAGTTATTTCTCGTAAAATTCCACCAGATAAATAAAAAGACAAAATTGAGATGATAGCTGACATATAGAGGATACAATTGTATGTATAATTTGGTTTTGAATTACATCTTTTGACTAATAATACCAGGCTTTGACAGATGGGAACAGTTTGAGAAATTGAGATCTTTCCTGAAACATGAGGGGAGACAATTGTGAGATTACTGGGGTCTTTTTCTTAACAAAAGTGTGACATTGTTTCTCCATTTAGTCTCGTTGGTGTTAATTGATATGTTCAAGATGTGTTGTTTGCAGAGTTTCCCCCTATTTTCAAATGGTTTGTGTGTCTGTTTGTTCAAAAGTAATGATTATGTACCAAAAATTGGGAATACATATGGGCACATATAACATATTGCTCCGAGACAAGCGCAAACTTTTGTATCACATGTGCAAAATTGTATTTTAAGGCATTACTTTTAGGACTGTATTTAAGCAGCAGTGCCTGTCATGCACTGTGCGACAATGTTGGTGTCTTTATACATCAATTAACACTTGTTTCTCTTGCATACCTGCACAGTGCAGAGCTTTACAGCGATCTGAAGGGCTCATGCTGATAAATATCAAGGTAACAGCAGTGTGCGTCTGTGTTCTAGCTTAGGCCAGTGCATTTGGACTGAACTCTGTTGTTTTTGTGTGATGCCTGTTCTAATGGGGAACTTCCCACAATGCTTTCATGTAGTTCATGGCTCAACTTTGTCTCATGGAAACAAGATTGTTGCTTGGCAATGGCACTAGGAGTTCCTTGAGTGATGAATGTATGAAATCAATCACAGATTTGAACGTGCCTTCATTGTGATGTCATGGACAACAGCTGTCTTTTAGTTTTCCTCCTAATTTTTGCTATTTACATTTCGCATCAGTGAAGAAGTATAAAAATTAGAAGCATTGTAAGTGACAATCATGTTTAAAATGACAGTTCAGTATAAACCTTTATGGTTACTGATTGCAATATTGAAATATTGAGGAAAAACAGGAGTATTGTGATTTTATTTTTTTCTAATTCAAAATAACTTTTCTGTTTTAATATATTTCAATATAATTATTTCTTGTTATGTAAAGCTGAATTTCCAGCATAATTACTCTAGTCTTCAGTGTCACATGATCCTTCAGAAATCATATGTTGATCTGCTGCTCAAGAAACGTTTCTTGTTATTATCAGTGTTGAAAACAGTTGGGCTGTTTAATATTCTTGTGGAAATTTAGTTTTTTATTTGAATAGAAAATTCAGAAGGACATTGTTTATTTGAAATATTTTGTCACATTATCTTTACTGTCACTTTTGATAAATTTAATGTGCTGAATAAATGTATTAATTGTCTTTCTGACCTCAAACTTTTAAATGGTAGTTGTATGCAAATATGTAAGTATTTGAGAGTATATGGAGACATTGTTAAAAATCTGTTCATTTATGCTAAAAAAGTAATAAGACTTAAATATTGTGCTCTATACAGTAACACCATCAGATAAGCATATATTATTATAACTTTGTTTCATCATCTCACATTATAAGTTACTGTATGTCTAAGTTTTTGACCATTTGTACCGCATTGCCCTCTTGTTATTCTATATTGTCTTAAAATCTCTGTTAAAAGGTATTTTTGTGTATGTTTATGTGACCTAACACACACAGCCCTGTGTAACCAGCTTCTAACCTCTAAATTACCAGAATAGACTAGAGTCATAACTCCTTGGCTTACTGGAAGCATCGAGTCTAGTTATTTGTGCTTGTGTTTTTACTTCTCAAATGTAGTCTCTAATTCTGCAGGTAAATAATAGATATCTCCTTCATAACATCACCTACTTCATAACTACTACAAAATCTTGTTTGCGTTGCGTTTATCATACAGTTTGTATAGTAGAATAAGCTAAGGGAGAAGAAAAACCAGAGCTATCACTTCCAGGAGTGAAAGGAATATGATAGATGAGTGAGGGAGTGTGGTAAAGCAGAGAGCACATGCACAGCAGAGCTGTGATAAACATAAGTTAGCCACACCCCCTTGAGGCCTCTCAGCCAATCACATCACACATTGCCTTATTAAGGGCAGCAGTGCTCGAGTGGTCCAGTAAGACAGAGGACAGAGAGATGGACATGTTTGCACGTGCATTTGCCGGTATTATAACACTCTGACTAGCATGGCTTGGCTTTTCTTAAAAACACAGCAGACTAATTTTTAGAGCTATTACTAGAGCTATGATATTTGAGACCTTTGCTCAATTTGGACTAATCATGAAACTGTCTTTTGATTTATTTGTATTAAGCTGTACCTTTTCAGTACAAATGAGATGACAAATGTACCAGTTAAAGCAGGTCTGTTGTTATATAGCTAGCTATAAACATGTTAACATGCCCCGTCTGAGTTTTCCATGTTGTTTAGTGAGCCCCAAAGGACCTTTGGCCTCTCAGTGCTCCCTCTAGTGCACACTATGACAATGTCAACTTGTTACAATACTTTCACACCTAGTTGTGGTGTTTTAATATGTTATATTGGCATATGCCTGTGTGTTTCAATAAATGAGCTTGTTACATTCTGTGTGGTTGGTCTTTCATTCTGTCGGTCTGAAGGGATGTTCATGCTAACAGTGATTTGCAGAAACATAGTGGTCGGCAGTCTTTAATTTTTCAGTAAGAATTGGCAATTTGAGTCAGTGTGACCGATAGAGACCCTTTAAAAGTTAACTTTATGCATGAAAGAAAACGTTTTTCACATGATCCAGATGCAGCTGGATACAGCTGTCGACTGGGAATCAGTGTTATTGTATTTATATACTATTATCATTTTTATTAAAAGTTTAAATTATATATATATATATATATAATGTGCTTTATTTTTAAATATTTATTTATTTTTCTGAATATTTCTGTGCAGTTTATTTTTTTTGTTTTAGTTTTTGCCATGGCAAAATTTCAGGCCAAAATGAAGTGATTTTTTTTTTTATCTAATATTTTATTTTATTTTATCTTTTTCAATGACAGTATTTTTTATTTGTTTAGTTTTAGTAAACAATAAGAACACTGGCAGAAATGTTAGCAAACAACAGTGTAGTGTCAGTGTAGTGAAGCTATAGTCAACAATTTTCAAAAATATTCAAAACATTTTGCCATTTAAAACTGCCAGTCAATTTGATCGATTAGATTTTAATGTTAATATCACAAAAAGCAAGTATTGTAATGCATGTAATATGCCATATGTAATTACAGTATACCAGCATGGGGCTAACTGTTCAGTGCTAACCAGCTAAACCTTAACCTCTTTGGCAACACAGCAGAAGTAGAACCCAGAACTCTGTGCTCATAGCGGTTAGCATAAAAACTCGAAATGAACATGGAAGATAGCTTTTATGTTGTTTAGCAGTCCTTTAGTGTGCATTATAAGAAGGCACACTTTTCTTAACAGCTTTAACAAAGATTCACTTTTATTTGGCTTTTTTTTTCAGTAAAAGATGTTAAAGGCATGTCAGATCTAATTAAAGACTTTCATCTTTGCATCACCGAGTATTTGTGACTCCAGGATAGCTGACGCGTGTGTGTGTGTGAGTGTGTGTAAATGTAGGAGACCTCATGTCATAAGTCCAGGAATCCACCGTGCTCCCACAATCCACTTTTATCATCTAGGCTAATTTCTGCCTGTAATCAGATTACTGCCTGTGAGCTGCCTTAGCATCTCTCTCTCTCTCTCTCTCTCTCTCTCTCTCTCTCTCTCTACCACCTTCCTATGTGTTTGCTTTAGCCCTCCAGTTTTGCCTCGGTGCATTTCCATCACGTTGAGTCCGTCTGTGGCGATCCCTCTCTCTCTCGCTCTTTCTTCGTCTGTTTGAGCCTGTGATTAGGTCTGTCTGTCCTTTTCCTCTCTTTTCTCCATTTTCTACTTTCCTTTTCATTCCAACATGTTCCATAACCCGTGGATTACTAACTATCTCAACCACGTCACTCAGTGTAGTCAAGGTAAGTCTTGAACTGTCTGTGCCTGGTTACTGTTACCAGACAGTGAGGTTGATTTATGGGGATTTGAGTAAAAGTGGTTGCCGGGTCATTGATTGAATAGATATTTTAATATAAAGGAACATGAAGTTGTTTGATGGCATTTAACCCAACCGCTGGGTCAAAACAGCCCAATTGCTGGGTTTGTCCCTATTTTACCCAGCACTGGGTTGTATTTAACCCAGCATTTTTTAGAGTGTGTGCTAAAGGTTGCTGTGAATTTCAGAAGTGATTAGTGATAGTCCTGCTAGACTAATTTGACCATTTTGAGATTGTCTGTATCAGCTGATGACTGTTGCCAAATGAATAGAAGTGGTGATTCTGAGTCAGTTCATAAAATCTGTAGACAATGCAATGTCTCCTTGTCAATTAAGATTTGTGGATACAAAATATGCATTATTATTATTATTATTATTTTTTTTTTTTGGAAAACAGAGGAAATAATGTGTAAAGTAAATGTTCAGTTAAATTCAGAAATGTGTAATATTTATATTATATCATTATTTTGTATACAAATATATAGTTGTATTGGCTGTCAGCCACCCTGTTATCACAAAAATGGTATCGACATCAAGCATTGAGGGAAATTTTTTAAAATGTATTTTTCTTTTTTCAAATCAACAATTAACGCATGCATTGATGTTGACTTTTTAACGATTGTTCATCAAAAGGTTAATTGTGGACAAGCACAATTAAACAGAATGTGAATGATTACACATATAATTGCACATGTATTGATATGAAAGCAGGGTTGCATTAATGCATTGTTTAAAATAAATGCTATTCTTTTGTTCATTCTATTCCATTATTGATTCCTGCACAAAATATGTCACCATTTCCACAAAATCATTTAGTAGCACAACTGTTTATAATATTGACAATGTTTAAATGTTCCTAATAAATGTTTCTTGAGCAGCAAATGATCATATAATGATTTCTGAAGGATCATGTGACCCTGAAGACTGGAGTAAAGATTCTGAAAATTCATCTTTGCCATCACAGGAATAAATTAGGCCTATAAAACATGTGAAAACAGAAAAGTCATTTTAAATTGTAATAATATTTTACAATATTACTTACTATTTTTACTGTATTTTTTTTCAAATAAATGCAGCCTCGTGAGCATAAGAGCCTTTGACATCTTGCTCATCAGATAGTAGCAGCATCAACAGCAGCCATTGAAAAACTTATCGGTCAGTCACTAAACTTAAATCAGGTCTCATTGAAGTGGAACAGTAATAGTCTTTAGCATCTCAGTCTGTCTAAGACGTTTTGTGTGTTTAATTTTGTGACCTAAGCCTTCTCTCCATTCCAGCTGCCAAAGTTTCACAGTCGCAACTGATTTGATGTTGAATCTCTAGTGCCTGCAGCTGTCACACTGATTGTACTGTCAGTTCTTCATGAAATGACCCCATACTCTGTGTGTCAACACTGTGTTAACGTGCTAATGGCAGGACGTGATAATTGCTGTTTTGCTGTCTACACATCAGATCATAAAATCCTTCACACAAACCTTGTGTGAAAGTGGTTTACTGGACATCTGTCTTTCTATGAGGTGAACTACATGTGTTTTAAGTAGCGTGGACCCTTGAGCAGGGTCTATTTTTTGCCCTGATCTCCTCAAATAGTATTTTTAGACAATGCCTTGTTCTTCTCGTCTCCTCGCCGCTAATTTGTGGCTGTCAGCTTCCTGGCGTGATTCTCTGGCAACCCTGGGACGGAAACTCGTCCACCAGACTTGATTTAGGTTAATTAGGATGTCTTCACACCCACGTTGACGTTGTTCTTCTTAGCTTGTTCTTAAAGCGGTCTCTTCCCAGCCCAGGTGCTCCTTTGGAGGGGGTATATTTATCAGGCAACCCACACTGGAGGATGTTAAACACATTAACTCAAGCTGTTGTCTGTGCAATATGATGGGTTTAAATTTACGAAACATGAAGTCAAGGTGGAATGTGTTTAAATATTTTGCCATTGTTGGCAACAGGTTGCATATTTCTGAAGAAATATTCCATTAAAATTTTTGTCTAAGATCAATTTGTTTTTTTCCTGAACTTGGGTTACTTAACATCACTGTAAGCAACATTAAATTACTTTTAAGTGCACAGAATTATTCAAGTTGAGCTGCCAAATTCAGTTTGTGCTGTTAAGGCCCATGCACACCAAGAACGAAATTGCGCCGATGGACAATAATGTTATGTTTATTATAAGCGTGTGTTACAATTTTATTGTCTGCTGCTTTAAGTGCTCAAGCTCTTTAAACTTGGGTGGATTCTGATTATGAAAGTGGGTGCAATATTGTTTAATTACAGTGTCATTATCAGTGTTGTGAACTTTCCTTATTAAGCAATTAGAACGATATTTAAAACTTTATACAGTGAGTATTGTTGTAGTAATACTTCTTGTTGTGAACAGGCCTTTATGGTCCATTTTATTTTTTATGTCTTTTGGATAGATTTGCAAAATTGTCTTGTGAAAGACACCTAAGATTTTTGTCTTGTTTCTTTTCACAGGCTTTGTCAGTGAAGCTTCTGCTAAGCTCTACAGCCCTGCACTACTAAAGAAAAGAGCAGTAAGGTCAGAATCCATTCATCTCACAATTTTAAAGGTTTTGTTTTGACCCAACTTTTTTTCTTTGTTTTAAAATCTGATCCCATTAGCTAAATTAAATACTGAATTAATCCCTTTGTTCTTTAATACTTAGCACTAAATGCAGTTGATGAGATGCTATTGAAAAAAAAAATGTTGCTCTATGGACTTCAGGACACTGATTGTGTGTTGCATCATGCACGTTTTGGGATAAATTAAAGGGTAGACATTTTGTTTACTTTGGTCAGTAATTGTGATTTAAGAATCAATAGTCCTGGGCAATGAAAAAGACTTTGCTCTAAGAGAAGGGGAGGTGTAGTTGGCTGTTATCATCACAAACCCAGAGTGTGTATGTGTGGGTGTATGTGTTATCTTTTGTTGTTTTCATTGGTTAAGCCGTTAAAAGAGAAGAATGTGCTTTTGACATTTTAATGTGTACAAAATAAATCAAAACTGGAGTCCACAATATATGAGGACAATAGAAGCAATCAAAACCAACAAAAAAGAGTAATATGTAAGTCTTGGTTAGTCTAACACAGTACACGTAGCAAGGTTTTTTATTTTTATTTTATAATAAAAAAAAAATAGGTAGATTGAATGGAAAATAATAGTAATAGAGGGACAACATTTTTTTTTAAATGAATAAAAAAGAAAACAAGTCGAAAGAATAGAAAAAGAATAGATAACGCTAGTGTTAGGGTCATTTTTTTTATAATAAATAAAAAGAACATGAGTAGATATAGAGACTAGTTAACCTTGGCTGGTTTCTAGCTCAATCAGTGGTGTAAGGAAGTATATACTGTGGAATAGACTCTTTACTATTATTATAAATTATTAAAAATTGAAAGCACAACAAGGATGTAATGGCGGTTTAACTTTTGGTATGCATTAATGTTCAATAATTCAGTTGTACAGAGTCAATTATTTCTCCTTACATGATTTCCATATTGGGCGTGTCTGAAAAAGTTTCTGGTAATGCAATCTAAACCTGTTTAAGCTCTCATTAGAGTTCTGCTGCCCTGCTTATGAGATAGATCGTTGTGCATAGCAGCATGTGTAGTGAAGGGTGTGCTGTAAACAGGAGTAATTGGAGTGTGCTGTTTGGGCTGGCAGGATTGGTACCATGGTGAAGGGGAACTCTAGATGTATAAATACCTTAGCAGCTAATCTATTCCTGTGGTGAGATTCAAGTAAACATTCAAGACTTTCAATGCTAATTCAGCTTAAAATGTCACACAGGAACATTGGTAAGGTTGCTCTTGACCTGCCAGTGTAGAATTTTGGAGGCACTCGGTGCCAAATCCGATTTTTCTAAGGTGTGCAGAGATTAGGTGTTGGAAAAGTCAACATAATGAATCAGTTTGGAGTTGTGGCCAAGCAGCTAGCATGTATACTGTGATATGCCAAGTAGGACATGTTCCTTGGTCAACATCCTTGTTGATCCTAGAACAACATTGCTATTAATCAATCAGATTTTAGGGTTAGGGTTACGCTTCCTGAAATTCCAGTCTCCTTTCAATAAGTGCCAGGAAGACCAAAATGAAATTAAACGTTTTATGTCTTCTGACATTAACACATTTACTAAAGCTCTATTGTTTTGAATCATGAACTCTCTATCTCTGCCTTACAGCTTTGGTGTGGATGACAGGACATCACTGGTTAAGAGTACAACAGAAATTGATGCAAATATCTTAGCTGTACTGCCCAAAGGTGAGAAATGCTAAGATAACATTGTAATTAAAAAGTTGAAGGACAATAATAATGATATTTTCCTTAAAGAAGTTGGATATTTACCAAAACGCTTGTCTTTTAGTTTCAGAGCTAAGGAAGCAATTTGAAACCTCTATCAAAAGTGGTCCAGAAATGAACAGGTACATTTGGTCTTGCAAAAGTCTTCTATGCATATTAAAATTAACATGGCATTCCTAAAGCTCAAACAGTTGAATATTGCACTAGCAATGTGAAGGTCATGGGTTAGATTCCCATGGAATGGATAAACCGTTAAAATGTATACCCTGAATGCAATGTAAAAATGCATTCAAAATGCATAAAAGTGGATGTAAAATGACTGAAAATGCATATAGTCAGTGTTGAGAAATGTTACATTTGAAAATTAATTGCTATATTTATAAGTCACTTATGTTACATCATTACTTTACAAAAAGCACTGTCCCGGTTAGGCTCTCTGTCTTCCACAATGTCGAATTACCCCAGCACTGCATATAATGGCTTCCTATCATGCAGGAAAGAGAGAATTGCACGAAGGTTGGAGGGGATTGAGGCTGATGTTCCACCTGCTCTTACTACAAGCATGCAACACACAGCCGGCCTGGTGACCAACCGACTACTGGAGGAGGACACACCACGCTATACACGTGCTTCAGATCCCAGCGATCCAGGCATTGTGGGTAAGTCACAGCACAGTTTATTTCTGTAAGTGTAACCGGTGTTGTCTGCGTTGTTGTTGTTTTTTTCTTCCAATGAGTAACCAGTCGGACATCAGCTGACGGTTCGACTCTTCATTTACTGATAAAAGATAACAGTCTTAACATGGTGTGAATTCGCCCTTTTGTCTTTTCTCTCCCATGCACAGACAGTGCAGAGAAAATGGTATAAAACTTTCATACAAAATAAATTTAACAACAAGTGACAAAACGGCATACCTGATAAAACATAAAACAGTCTTTACAGTGTGTTTTCACCCTTGTCTTTTCTGTTAAATGAATGTAACGTGCAACGCAATTAGCACGTGCATCGATGAGACATCAAAAACAACACCCTCAATTATAATGAAAACATGAAAATAATTTAAAGGTACATGAAAAATAGTTATAAATATGATTTAAACAGAAAAACCAAAAAGTGATTTTTAAAGCACAGATGAAATTAGATTAATCAGAGCTCATTAGTAATCCACCTCTCCCACGCACAGACAGTGCAGAAAGGGAAGAGGAGGTGCAAAGACAGGAAATTAAGATTAACGCTGCTGTCAGAAATTTAAAGCGGAAGGTGCACACACACAGACAGCCATATCAGGTATACATCGTGAACATTTTTGTGTAATTCTACATATGAAATGAACATATTATTTTCCATACCTGTTACATAAGCAGACAATATATTGTACAGTGCACAGCTAAGGCAAGAGTCACTATTATGATTGCTATTTGTTATACTATTATTTCAATAACAAAATCTCCTTAAAGGGGTTATGAACTGAGAAATCAAAATTCCCTTGATCTTTTGACATATAAGAGGTCATTGTCTTTTCTGTTAAATGAATGTAACGTGCAACGCAATTAGCACGTGCATCGATGAGACATCAAAAACAACACCCTCAATTATAATGAAAACATGAAAATAATTTAAAGGTACATGAAAAATAGTTATAAATATGATTTAAACAGAAAAACCAAAAAGTGATTTTTAAAGCACAGATGAAATTAGATTAATCAGAGCTCATTAGTAATCCACCTCTCCCACGCACAGACAGTGCAGAAAGGGAAGAGGAGGTGCAAAGACAGGAAATTAAGATTAACGCTGCTGTCAGAAATTTAAAGCGGAAGGTGCACACACACAGACAGCCATATCAGGTATACATCGTGAACATTTTTGTGTAATTCTACATATGAAATGAACATATTATTTTCCATACCTGTTACATAAGCAGACAATATATTGTACAGTGCACAGCTAAGGCAAGAGTCACTATTATGATTGCTATTTGTTATACTATTATTTCAATAACAAAATCTCCTTAAAGGGGTTATGAACTGAGAAATCAAAATTCCCTTGATCTTTTGACATATAAGAGGTCATTGTTCTATAAAAACATCCTGTAAGTTTCAGAACTCAAAACTTTCATGTTAGTCTAAAAACGGCTTATATTGAAGCCAATCTGCCAAAACAACGGATTGTGGAATGTGCCAGTGTTGCTAAACGCCACCTCCGCAGAAGAAGATCAACACCTGCTTCTACATCACTGCCTGTTTAGCCCTGCCCACCCATTTACACATGTAGTGGGTAAATAACGCAGGTCTGTGCAGAAATTAGAAATGGCTTGGAAGACAACAAGATGCTGTGCAGTGCCAGGTTGTGGAAAAATAGTCTTTCCATTGCCTTCCTTCTGGTCCAAACGTTAGGAAAGTGTGGATGCAGTTTATTTTTTATGAATTTCCAGATCGCATCAGTAAGAACTTGGTCCTCTGTTCACTTCATTTTCCCATGGATTCATTTACAAACAAGGTCCAAATTCAATGCAGGATTTTTAGAAAGATTGAAACTAAAAGATGATGCTGCGCTGAATATATTGGATCTGACAGTAATGTCACACCACACAAGTGTGAGTAACCGTTTTTACATAGTCACTATTGCTTTGTCTGTTATTACAGATCGTTTGATATGTTCTGAGAATTTATGTGTTTTTAACCTAAATCACAGCAGTGTCCATCTATGAGGAATGTACGCTGTCAAATATACACAAATGTTAGCCAATCATGCCAGTGGGTGTTTACTTCTGAGTCTACAATCCGTCACGCCTATTCAAACAGAGCGTTCAGATGAGGGGGTTAAAACAGGACAGAAAATAGCATATTACTTCTAAATTATGATGTATTTTGATGTAAAAATAACATTATATAGATAACATTATAAGTGCACCTCAGAGAACAGTACAAAATGATAAAAAAGGCAGTTCATGACCCCTTTATACTTTGGTACGTAGGAAAAGAGGTGTGGTATTACTTTTAGTAGTAATCTGACATCTGGTGGACAAAACAGCTAGAAAGTAATCCCGTAGACTTGCATTGAACAAGGGGCTCAGGTCATATCTTGAGCCCACAAAATTTTAGAATTTTCTTGGTCTCCTTCTCACTCATTTGTTACTTTACAGTGCGGCGCTACATCCGTGATGACATAGAAGCTCCAGAGCGGCAATCCAGAGCTCGGACACGTCCAGATCCACAGTTGTCCTCCCACCCTGAGCCAGTCGGTCCTACCCCAGCCGGGTCTGATGCAGCCAGCCTCAGCTCTAAAGCCGAGCGGATTGCGCGATACAAAGCTGAACGTCGGCGACAATTATCAGAACGTTACGGAATCCTCCTCGACCAAGAGGTGGATCTGGATTACGCGCCACGCTGCACACATGCACGGAGAGAGTCTGACCTGTCGGACAAAGGGGCTCCTCCTGACAGGGGACGTGGTGAGAGCAGGACAAGGGGAGTGGCATTGCAAAAACAGGATGAGGGGCGGGACCGAAGCAGCAGCAGGTCTAAATACAGCAGTTCAGGAATAGGGCGAGTCTTCATGCCTTCTTACCCCACCCCCAATCCTGCTCCTCCTCCATCAGGCTTTGATGCTGAGCGAGAGAGAGAGAGGGCAATGAACTTGGAAAATTATAGACGAGCACCTGACCGAAGTACGAAACCACGCCCACAGGAAACTCCGGTTCCAATGGAAACAACAACAGCCCAACCAGCGAGGGGTGTCGCTGTTGTCACTGTAGCAAGTTCTCCTAGGACAGCACGCAGAGCTTCGTTGCCTACAACACAATATGGCATCTCTCCTGGAGACTTGTTCATCGAGCAACAAGCTCAAAATATCCTCAACAGACAGGGGTAAGTATGTGTGCTCAGTTCTGGATCTTAAAAATATGTGTTAGAGGACCTTGATTTTGACTGATGTGTTATTTTCTTCCTGTGTTGGCATACTTCCTTTGAAAACACCATGTTGGTGTGGGACTTGCTCTTTTTTAACCTTTATTTTAAAGGAAATTTTTATTCAGAAAATGAGAAATTCAGGATCTGAGCACTTGCTTACTTTGTGTAAATCATTCTATAAAGCAAGAAAAAGTAACGGTTAACAATTCCCATAATTTATCTTCCAATAAAGTGGTGGACCTCTGCAAGGACTAGTGCTTTGTTTTTTTTTGTTGCCTTACTCAGATAATGCTGAAGCTCTTAAACATACTCCTGGTAAAAGTGCTGAATGGACCAGCTTTTGTGTTTAGTCAGGTTTACAGTCATGCCAGAGAGCTGGTGAGCTGGGATGAAATATGTAGAACTGTTCACTGGACATCAGCAAGAATTTCACTCTGAAGCTCTGCTGAAAGATACTGCATTGCTCACTACACTCAAAAGCTTAGTCTCCCCAGAGCAGTGGATGAGAATTGCATTATTTAGTATGACAGTAATTGTAGTATTGTATTGTAGACAGTAATTGGCTGTTTTCAGACATTCATAAAATGTATCTTGAGATGAGTAGAGAAGACACCTAGTCTGACATTGAGGGTCAGATTAGGTGTCTTGCATGTTGAGATTTATTGACCACAAATTGTGTATGTCAATTTGATTGTTATTATACGAGACCCCTAATATTTTATAAAATGATAACTGTATAACTTTTATATCCAGATACAGGTGCATGTGTTCTATCTGAAGTGTTACATAACTTGACAACCCATGATGATGAAAGATTGTCCAAAAAATCCTCTATTGTGTGGTGTCATTACGATTATTTAACTGCTCCCGATTGAGACGGAGCATCCCCGAACTCAAATCGTAAATATCAAACATGTTAGTTGTGACTCTTGATCTGGCTGCCTCTTACATGATACCCGCAATAGCCAATGAGAGCGAGCAAGTGTCACTTACACTCTTAAAAAATAAAGGTGCTTCACGATGCCATAGAAGAACCTTTTTGTCTAAATGGTTCCATAAAGTACCTTTAACATCTGAAGAACCTTTCTGTTTCACAAAAGGTTCTTTGTGGCGAAAGAAGGTTCTTCAGATTACAAAAAGGTAAGAAAGAGATGGTTCTTTAAAGAACCTTTGACTGAATGGTTCTTTGTGGAACCAAAAATGGTTCTTCTATGGCATCGCTTGAAGAACCTTTTGAAGCACCTTTATTTTTAAAAGTGTACCAGATGTTGTGTGCTTCTATTGCTGAAACTTGGCAGCCACAATAATGCCACGAAAGCAGAATACATCACCCATATTCTTTTTTTATACTTTGTTTTTCACTGTGAAACCGAATGCGCGCTTGGAGAGCCAGCTGATTGCGATTGTCTTCCATTTGTTTTTCTTCTCTAGTCACGTTTGATCTCGTGTGTCTCCGTGAGATCTCGTGCCACTGTGAAATCGTTCCTACAGTCATGAAGCGTGTGGTCTCGCTGTCTGGTTGAAATTGTCTAGTGTGCGCGCTCAGTGGATTATAAGGCTAAAAATCGGTTAACTCTCTTCATGTCTGTGGTCTCCCATGGTTTTAAAATCAGTTAAGATTTGAAAATCGTCTAGTGTGCAGCCAGATTTAGGCAGTAATGATGTCAGAGACTAATTGAGGAACCTTATATTAAAATTAATAACTATACAAGAAAGAGAGGAAGCAATCAGGAAAAGTGGACAGATATTTTACATTACATTACAATGGTCTCCATTTAGATGAGGACTGGTAAAGCCACAAGTGTGTTTTGTTATAGTGCTTAATGTCATGATGATGTTACTGTGATAACTAGGGTCTGGGCCTCTGTGTTCTTTAGCTTGGTAGCTCTTTCTCAGAGTGAGTGGTCCCTCAGGAGAGACAGTGAATCACACTCTCAGATCAACTGGCCATCCAGGTATCAGAGTGGGAGTGCAACCCTTTAAATTTCCCCAGTTGACCCGCTAACTCGATTTTAGAACACTTGACCTTATATCCTACGAAGTCCATGCACTCAAAAATACATTTGCACACTTTAGTTTTCATTATGTTGACTTTCTCCATATACTGTCATCATAGATGTTGGCAAACATTTCCCTTGTTAATCTTCTTCATCCTTCCACTGTTTTTTTTTTAACCCTTGACCTTTGTCCCTCACCAGAGACCAGCTCCTAACAATGAGACTTGGCTTCATTCCTTTTAAATTTTTCTCTTAAAAAACATGTAACAGGTGGAGCTTATTTGTCACTGCTGGCTGAGAGATTGCCAATAAATGGTTACAAGTAACCATAAATGGTTACCAAGGCACTATTGCGTTTTAATGTGTTTACATTAGTCTATCGAAAGGGTTGCAAATAACTGGACTTTGCTTTCCAGCTATTGAAGAACATATTTCTGAAAAGAGAATATGTTGGGTGTTTGTTTGTTTTTTTATCCCCCTGAATGTTTAACATATTGATGTCAGGCAAAAGCTAGCTGTAGAATGTATCGAAACAGAAGGGGCTTTCACACCAGAGGAACCTTTTCATAGTTCCTAGAACTACTGGTGGAAGTACCCACTTTTTGGCATGTTTGCACTGCAGGAATTGGTAACAATTTTAGTTCTAGGAACTCTGTTTGGGTACTTTAGAGTAGGGTCTAAAACCGTTCTGTAGGAACTACCAGTGACGTAAGTGTATGCTGATTAGCCAAACGCATATGAAACATCGGCTAACCAGCATTTTTAAAAAGCCAGGAAAATATATTTACTCCATGAACATGGAAAACAGTGTTAATGGCATTTAGCTACCTGTTGTCTGCAGCATTGTTATTTTCTCATCCTCGAAGATATGTAACGCTGCAAGTTGTCATGGGAGATTTAGTCAGATTTTCATGCTCTTTCAGTCACATAAATTGTGTTTACATACCATTTCCGTTATCACGAAACTTACAACACACAACAACAACAGCTCCGATCATGGCATCCTCTATTCACTGGTTGTTGATGTTTGTAAATGCTGCAAATAAAGATGTCGCTGTCGGCCGTTTCAGAGTTCCTGCTGCCGGTGCGAATGCACCCAGCAAAACAGTCCAAGAGGGAAATAGGTTCTCTAGGAATCACCATGCTGGTTAGTTCCTAGAACTGAGGTCCTAGAACTACGTGGTCCGAAAGCTCTTATACTATTCTAAGATGAGGAGGTGGTTCTTATTCTTGATGTGTGGGACAAAAATCTTTTAATCTATCATCTCTAATAAATTTTATGACACTTTCTCTCAGGATGATAGTAGGTCATGTTTTTTAATTGGATGAATGTTAATTCCTCTCTTTCCTCCCTTAATGAAGAATACGAGTAAGAGAGAGACAGACAATGGAGGACATCTCGGGAAGGGGTTCTGATTCAGGGCCAGATGCATCTTCTGTCAGACGTCATCCAACAGTTGCCCCTCCATATTTAGCTCCACGACCTCAATCTGCAAACCAACCACGAACACGGAGCTCTGAACCCCCAATCCAACAACCTAATCAGGAGACCCGTCAACAAAGGGCACATAGTGCAGAGCGGCCGCGATTCCAGTGCACTCACACTATGGACTCGCCTGCCTTTCAACATATAGTTTCAAGTGAAACTGGAAATCATCAGCGTGCCCAAAGTGCAGAGCCCCCAAACTATGATCAGAGTCCTGGTATTCACCCTAGCACCATGGGTCGTCAGTCTGGATTTGGACAAATCAAGCAATCCCTAACAAAGAGAAATAGTCAAGATGCTCAAGAACAATCACAAATGCACAGACCATCACAACAACCACACCCAGCATACAAAGATCTCCAGCAGCCATTTCCTGGTCCTAGAGATGCCCCACTACCTGTACAAAAGTATCGGGCTATCCTTCAACCAGTGCCTTTAGATCGGGTCACTCACCAACCAGCTCAAGCACATGCACCTACTCAGAAGCCTCTACATGAACATGAACACACCTTGCATTCACGTCTGTCACATGGGCATTATGGTCACAGCCCTCTGCAGTATGGTTCAGTCCAGGCACTGCCTCCAGCATATGGACAAATTGTTTACTCAGCTCCTTCCCATACATCTAGCCATCTATCTTCATCTTCAAATGCTCATGCAGCTCACCCTGTGCCTGGACCTTCACTTAGTAAGTCTGAGACAGTGGATCCCAAAGGACGATTGCCCATACCCAGTTTGGCACCTGCTGACAAAGAGGGTGAAGAGACTAGACGAATTGCCAGTGCTGATCACATTCAGCCAATTCACAGAGAAGGTCGATCAGCATCCAGAGTGGATCCAGCTTCAGAAGGGTTACTTAAGAGCAGAAAAGCTGTGCTACCCTCAGAGATCCGCCGCAGGCAAAAGAGTGTGGATGATCCCATGCGTGGACAAACTGATGAAGGTTTGGAAAGTCAGAGAATCAGAAGGATCAGCCAGTCAGAGGAGATAGAGGAGAGAGGTGGAAGAAAGTTGCACCAGTTGGAAGAAAGGGAGGGGTCTAATGGAAAAGGAATTGCTCAGATGGAGGAGGGAACAATAGCAGGTGAAAAGGTAATTGGTCTACTAAAAGACAGAGAACAGCATGATGACCAAAGGACCAGTCAATCTGAAGAAAAAGAGGTAGATAGTGGCACAAAGAATAGTTGGAAAGGTAAAGATGTGGGACGTGGTATAAGGAAGATTGGTCAAAGAAAAGAAAACAAGCAAGTGACTGGTATTAAAAAGGAGGAGGGTCAAGATAATTGGAGCACTCACCAGTTAGAGGGGATGGAACAAGGAGGTGTCAGGAAAGTTGACGAATTCAAAGAAAGAGAATGGGAAGTTGATCGAAGACAAGGCCACACTGTACAGTCTGTTGAACCACTGGTGCATGGTGATAAGAAAATCGGTCAAGAGGTAGAGGAGCAGAAAGAAGGCCAAAGGTTCCTGCAAAAAGAAGTGGCAGAAGGACATGGTAGAAGACGACGGATTGATCTGTCAGAGAATGATGAAGGGCATGTCAGACGGAGAAGGATAAGCCAATCAGAAGATGATTGGGAGGAACGTAGGGTACGTAAAATTGGACAGTTGGATGCATGGGAAGTGCAAGGAGTGCATCGAATGGGCCAGCCAGATAATAATTTTGAAAGACCTGAGAAAGGAAAGCAGAGGTTAAACACACATCTACCTGAAGAAATAGACACAGCTTCCACACAGCTAACCAATCAACAGCATTTTCCACACCATAGGGTGGGGGATGTTGGAGGCTACTTGCAGAAAAGTTCCTTCCTCCCACAAGCGCAACATCGAGTGAGCCAGGATGCAGGTGACCTGAGGCCAAAGGTGCGAATCCGCTCCATGTCAGATATTGGAGTAACTCAACGGTCTGCTGCATTGAGAAGTCTGGAGCGTGCTGCCAGTCGAGAGTCTGCAATGGTGACAGGTACAGGGCTTCATACTAGAGAGCCGAGTGGTGTGGCCAATGGTGAAATGGGCACCTTGGACACAAGAGTTTCTGTGGCTAAGCTGAGACATTCCTACCTGGAGAATGCTTCTGGACACAGACCTGAGCTGTATGTAAACTGGCATGTCAGCATGCTAAATCAAAGTTTTATCAAAGATGATGATTAAATCCACTAACCTCTAATTAATAATCCCAACAATTGGATGTAAAATTCTGCCTTTTTTAATCATATGCAATCACTTGTGTGCTGCTCATCATTTAAAGGTTTAAGCTGTAATTGCTGAAAAATTGCCACTTGTCATCCAAGCAGCTAAGTCTGAATGAAGGAGTGTTGGCTTCATCAATGACTTTGCATTTAAATCACTTAATCTAATCTCCTCTAACCACAGTAAATGGGCATCAGGATGCGGTTTTGTAGATTGGATGCCATGGTACAAACTGCTTGATCTTAACCTTGCCTTGTCATTGCGTGAAGAAATTTGATTTTATCTTCATCAAATGCATGATTATCATTGATAAATAAAATGTATTGTGTGATTTGTTGATTTTTATGATTGATTTGATGCTGTATTGCTCCAAAATTTGGGGGAATTGGGATAACCCAGACTGACTTATCTAAACTAGCTTTGTTGCAGCGTTTTGTATTTAATAAAGATAAAATTCAGTCTCAACTGTGGATCCCCTAAAATGACCCGAGATCTTTTTTGTGTGAACAAGTTTTTTTCTTTTTTCTGCAGATGTTTCTATTCTGCGAATGTTGCTTTAGATTCTCGGTACTAAACACATTCTGAAAAATGTGTTTCTTTTGTTAAGACAATCTTTCCTGTCTAACAAAGGGAGTCTAAAGGAGACCAGGTTCCCATGGAGATCGATCCAGTTGTCAACAGTGACCGGGAGAGAGGAGCACGTCGGCCCAGACGTTACATTTCCCCTGGAGATGACAGGAAGTCATCTGAGAGGTTTAGAACCCAGCCAATCACATCAGCCGAAAGGCTGGAGTCTGATAGGTACAGTGAAACAGGAAGTCTGGTGTTGTACTGAAACTACTAATTTATTATCAGTAGTGGTAAATTGTAATTGTTTTATACTTGAGTATCCCTCAGTCTTTTAATAAATCTACTTATCTGAATTTGGATATAAAAGGCATTTTAGACAGGTTAAATTAGTATCTGAAATGTGCATTTGTTCTAGCTATGTAGTTAATTTTTCTTTTCTTTAGTCATCATACCATAACACTTGAATCCTCAGGGTCAATTATTTTTTGTTCTTTTTGTACTTTTATATTCAGGTCCCGTCTTAGCCCAGAGCTTCAATGTACAGAATGCGAGTCAAAATGTAAGCAATATCAAACCAAATATCAGCAGCTGTGATTTTGCCATAGTCATTCTTTTATACAACCATTCTATAAACAGTATATCCAGTAACTTAAGTTTAACCCTCTTTTTTTTGTCTAGTGGATGAAGAAAAAATGGATGAACGAGCTAAAATGAGCGTAGCAGCCAAGAGATCTCTTTTCAGGGTACAAAATCTCTTTAGCATACACAACTTGTTATATGAAATCACATGAAACTAATGATTACAAAAACACATGTACAGAATATATATTATTTATAGCATAAAAGTGCCAATACATTTGCATAATAACCAAACTTTGTTTGACCTCTTGTCTTGCAGGAGCTGGAGAAGACTTTAGAGGGAGGTGTCCCCAAACCTCGATCACGCAATGCTGCGGTTGAGCGGAGACTCAGACGAGTGCAGGATCGTTCACGGACACAGCCGGTCACGACAGAGGAAGTTGTCATTGCTGCTACGTAAGTCATTTCCTACTTTTGGTTATGTAAAGGACCTAGTTTTCATATCATTAAACGAATCTCTTAACTACAATAAAAAAAAAAATGTTTGGCGAAAAGTGACAAATTCTGTGGACTTACCTTCATGTTGTTGTGTTTTCCCTGGAACACAAAGACAATTCTGATGAAGGAAGAATTATTAACAAATAATGACTTGAAGTTTGTATTTTATTTTGTATGAATTAAGCTCATATGGTCTACTTTGGTAGAGTTTTTGGAGCTTGTGGTCATTAGGAACTTTTGTAAAAGAGCAGCATGAAATTTTTACTTTTGTGTTTTTGGAAAAATTACTGCATATGGGGGGGAAGAACAACATGAGGGAGAGAAATATAATTTTCATTGTGGGTGAATTATTCCTTTAAGGGATAAACCCATCATTGTCTACTCACATTCCCATAATCACTTATTTGATGCAGAATTTTTTACATTGACCCTGATGTTTTGATGATTGCTTATACACCCCTTTTGCTCTGATTCTTGTTTACTTCACTCTACATTACTTTTTTGTTTTTGTCCTCCTGTAAAGTTCCCCCGCTCCCCCTTCTCAAGTCATCATTATTCAAACCACTGCTCCCAGAATCCCCAGTCCTGCTGTAGTCAGCACTTCCATGACTAGTTTCAGGTATCATTTGAATTATTTTGTGTATATATGAGGATATAGGCCTTGTCGTCTTGGGCTGCATGCTGTTTCTTAATTTGTTCATTGCTTGACTTGAACTTTTTATGGAAACTGAACAGTGTGTTCTTTGACAGCATGATTGCATATTAATAGAGAATTCAGACCATACTTAGAAGAAAGAGACAAATTGCCCGGTTCATTCATTGACCGGTGCATTAGATTAATCAGGTCTCTAAATGTCGCAAGTCTCTGTGGGAATCTTTGTGCCAGTCCGCCATCTGCTGGTGGATTGAACGTTCTGTTGTAAATTGTTGTTGGGAGTGTGAAAACGGAATGTCTGGCATGCAATTATGAGGTTATGCAGTTCTGTGATTTTGAAATGTGAGCAAGTGCCTGTGTGTATGAAAAAGTAAGAGTATTTTAATGTGTGTGTGTGAGCATGTGCAGATGTTTTGGGTGTCTACATTAGCGAGTTGTCACCCAGATTAGCTGTAAACAGCCACATGGTAAGTAGCAAAATACATTTGGCATTCTCTATGTGCTTTGAAATGTCAGAGGTGTCACCTGTCTGTCAACAGTTATATGAGCGTGACAGGGTGAGAGATTCACTTAAACTAGAAAGGCAAAGAGAGAGAAAATCAATGAAATTAAATTACAAGTACAAAAGCACAACACCAATGCATGTGAGTCCTATGTCTTTTTAAAACTGAGAATGTGGACTGGAATATTGACCAGGGAGTGAGTTGAACTCTGTTTGTGTGTGTTTATTAGGGTGAAATTATCTGATTGAAACAACATGTGTGTGTGTGTGTGTGTGTGTGTGTGTGTGTGTGTGTGTGTGTAAGCAGATGGTGTAATGCATTTCTAGATTTTATGATTTTTTTTTCTTTATCTGCTGCATTGAATAGCTGTGGCTACACACACATTTGTCTATTAACTGGATGGATTGATGCAAATATTTGAATGGTATGTTAGCGCTGAGCTGTTTTTGATTTCATCTGATTTAATTAGTACTGATATAATGCCTCTGCTTATAGTCTCATGAATGTAGTCTATTTTGTCATATACAGTTCATAATTCCACCCCCCACCCCCTCAAAAAAAAAAATCAAATAAATCTTTTTTTTTTCTAATTGTCATGAATGTAATACTCTTTTTTTTCAAATATGATTTTCATTAGATATTGAAATGTATATGTATTTTTTACTGTATTGACAATATAATATTACAAAATATTGATGTAACATTTTTTTTAATTATTATTATTAATAATAATAATAATAATTCTGTCAAGGATGTTATGTGCAAATTCATAATTTCACCTCCTTTATTTTATTTTATTTGAGTAATGATTCTCAAACCTATAAAGCATTTACTGTATTAAAGTACAAAATATTGAAGTACATTTTTTTTTATTGAAGTAAATCAGTATAAAATCAGCTTAGTTGAAAAATAATTAATGCCATTGCATTGAAAGGTAGTACAACAAATACTACCATGATGTAAAACAAAATACATTCTAATGTAAAATGTAATTGTTTTTTTTTGCATTACATTAATGGAGATTTAGTGGGTGTTCAATTAAAATTCACAAAAAGATTTAATGTCACAATACAAGCAAATCTTAAAACTCCTAAAAAAAAATGCTTATATTTTGCATTAAGAATTTTTTTTTCTTTTTGTGGAGAAATGGACATGTTTCTGACAGCTTTTGTGGGATTTAACCTGCAAGTCTCGTTGTATGTGTATTTGCTCTCATGCTGGATCTCAATGTGTTTCTCCAGATGTCTCTGATCCCAGCATTCCCGTGAGGACGGTGAGCACAGCTGCGGTCTCCTCCAGAAGTTCTTCACACACCTCAAACACTCTCACTTACCTCCAACAACCCCAGTCCTACACGCCTCCGCAGCCTCAACAAAAACCAGCGCAGCACCCTCAAATCGACACACCAACCCACGCTAGACCTCAAACACAACCCTACAGCCCGCCGACACCACCACAGACACGGGCCAAACCACAAACACACCTCATTTCTGACTCTCAGCCTCACATCCACGTTGACTCTCAGGCTCCTCCATGGCAAACCCAGCTGTTCCCTGAACCCCAGCGGCAGGTGCAACCCAGGGTCCCGCCGCAGACGCAGCCCAAACCGCAATCCTTCCTTCCACCTCAGTCACATGCCTACATTCCCCCTCAACCCAAGATACCCCCTCAAACCCAGCCCAAACCCCAGTGCTTCATACCACCTCCAACACAGCCCCAAGAGGAGATCCTGGGAAAATACGGCCCCTCTGAACTCGTCGTCTCCAAAGACCAAAGGCCAGAGATCCACGAAGATCCAGAGGCCATGACATCTATGTCAATCAAAGAAAGGTGTGTGCTGGTTACTTCGCTTTTATGTTGTAAGTCATCATACATACAGTATGCAAATCCTATGTATAGTAATTCACACAAAATATGGCATATTAGCGTCAATTTTGGAAGAAAAAATCCTATTTTTCACTATAACATTTTTTTTTTAATTAAGTAATAAACCTTTCAAAATGATTGTCCAGGGCTCAACAGTAGTCTTTATGTATTTTGTGTGTGTGTGTGTGTGTGTGTGTGTGTGTGTGTGTGTGTGTGTAAGCAGATGGTGTAATGCATTTCTAGATTTTATGATTTTTTTTTCTTTATCTGCTGCATTGAATAGCTGTGGCTACACACACATTTGTCTATTAACTGGATGGATTGATGCAAATATTTGAATGGTATGTTAGCGCTGAGCTGTTTTTGATTTCATCTGATTTAATTAGTACTGATATAATGCCTCTGCTTATAGTCTCATGAATGTAGTCTATTTTGTCATATACAGTTCATAATTCCACCCCCCACCCCCTCAAAAAAAAAAATCAAATAAATCTTTTTTTTTTCTAATTGTCATGAATGTAATACTCTTTTTTTTCAAATATGATTTTCATTAGATATTGAAATGTATATGTATTTTTTACTGTATTGACAATATAATATTACAAAATATTGATGTAACATTTTTTTTAATTATTATTATTAATAATAATAATAATAATTCTGTCAAGGATGTTATGTGCAAATTCATAATTTCACCTCCTTTATTTTATTTTATTTGAGTAATGATTCTCAAACCTATAAAGCATTTACTGTATTAAAGTACAAAATATTGAAGTACATTTTTTTTTATTGAAGTAAATCAGTATAAAATCAGCTTAGTTGAAAAATAATTAATGCCATTGCATTGAAAGGTAGTACAACAAATACTACCATGATGTAAAACAAAATACATTCTAATGTAAAATGTAATTGTTTTTTTTTGCATTACATTAATGGAGATTTAGTGGGTGTTCAATTAAAATTCACAAAAAGATTTAATGTCACAATACAAGCAAATCTTAAAACTCCTAAAAAAAAATGCTTATATTTTGCATTAAGAATTTTTTTTTCTTTTTGTGGAGAAATGGACATGTTTCTGACAGCTTTTGTGGGATTTAACCTGCAAGTCTCGTTGTATGTGTATTTGCTCTCATGCTGGATCTCAATGTGTTTCTCCAGATGTCTCTGATCCCAGCATTCCCGTGAGGACGGTGAGCACAGCTGCGGTCTCCTCCAGAAGTTCTTCACACACCTCAAACACTCTCACTTACCTCCAACAACCCCAGTCCTACACGCCTCCGCAGCCTCAACAAAAACCAGCGCAGCACCCTCAAATCGACACACCAACCCACGCTAGACCTCAAACACAACCCTACAGCCCGCCGACACCACCACAGACACGGGCCAAACCACAAACACACCTCATTTCTGACTCTCAGCCTCACATCCACGTTGACTCTCAGGCTCCTCCATGGCAAACCCAGCTGTTCCCTGAACCCCAGCGGCAGGTGCAACCCAGGGTCCCGCCGCAGACGCAGCCCAAACCGCAATCCTTCCTTCCACCTCAGTCACATGCCTACATTCCCCCTCAACCCAAGATACCCCCTCAAACCCAGCCCAAACCCCAGTGCTTCATACCACCTCCAACACAGCCCCAAGAGGAGATCCTGGGAAAATACGGCCCCTCTGAACTCGTCGTCTCCAAAGACCAAAGGCCAGAGATCCACGAAGATCCAGAGGCCATGACATCTATGTCAATCAAAGAAAGGTGTGTGCTGGTTACTTCGCTTTTATGTTGTAAGTCATCATACATGCAGTATGCAAATCCTATGTATAGTAATTCACACAAAATATGGCATATTAGCGTCAATTTTGGAAGAAAAAATCCTATTTTTCACTATAACATTTTTTTTTTAATTAAGTAATAAACCTTTCAAAATGATTGTCCAGGGCTCAACAGTAGTCTTTATGTATTTTTATTTACCCTAACAAACTTGTCTCTGGCTACAAAGTAACATACTGTATATTTTGTTACTAACATATAATTTTAAGAAATAAAATGAAAGAATTTAAATACACTATCATTCAAAAGCTTGGGGTCAGTAAGATTTCTAAATGTTTTGAAAGATATTTCAAGGCTGAATTTATTTGATCAAAACATACTGTAAAAACAGTAATTTTGTGAAATATTGTTACAATTGAAAACGGCTGTTTTCTATGTAAATATATTTTAAAATATAATTTATTCCTGAGATGCAAAGCTGAATTTTACTCCAGTCTTCAGTGTCATGTGATCCTTCAGAAATCATTTTAATATGCCTATTTGCTTCTCAAGAATAATTTCTTATTACTATCAATGTTGAAAACATTTCTAAAACTTTTTTTTTTATGGGAACAAAATGTGGGATACATTTTGTATGATACTTTGATGAATAGAAAGTTCAAAAAAAAACTTTCAAAACCGAAATCTTGAAAAAAAATTTTAAGCTAGAAATCTAAATTTGTATGTGTCAGGATGAGTATATGAAAGGTATGGCAGATGAACAGCATGTTAAAAGCATGCTTATGTCATATTGCAGTGTAAGAAACAATGGAACATGTATTGGAGTGTGCTGATGGCTTTAGATGTTGCAGGTTGACTGGAGCTGTTCTCCTTCTGTCTTGTCTTATAAATGAAATTGGGTCATCTCTGCTCTCGGTGAGCGCTGATAATGCGGACAGCACTATTTTAGATCTCCCAGCCTTCCCCGCAGAGCAGGATGAAATGAGTACACAGAGAAATAGAGACAACAAACCATGACAAAGTCACATGAGAAAGCTGAATTGTGAAGACTTTTGTATGCTGTAGTATTACAGTACATTTAGTTTTCTGCATGAGTTTCACATCTACAGTGTAAACGGCTGTTCAACATGGAGTGAAGCGTTTGATGATTCCCTTTCTCAGGTTAGCCATGTTGAAGAAGAGTGGAGAGGAAGATTGGAAAAACAGGATCAACAAGAAACAGGAAGTTAAACAGGAAGTGGTGTCTGCAAGCGAGAAGAGTAGTCAAATAATGGAGGAGCAAGGCTTTACGAAAAAGGTAAGTATCTATAGCCTAGCAACATCAAATCTGGTAATGCATCACAGGGGTTGCCAGGCAAAATGAATGAATTTATTTTATAATGCATTATATATAAAGGCTTTAAGTAAAGTGTTCCCACAATGTGTCCCCACCAGCTACCCACTATTATAATACATGTCTGGGTGCGAGTAATAATCAGTGTGATGTCTATAAATAGACAGTGGTGTCTATGATGTGAAACACTAATATAGTGTTGTAATGTTCTTACCATAAATTCACTTTTTACATTCATATGAAATAATACTACTGTTGCTGCAGTTTTCATATTGTCATTGTTTTTCATATAATTATATTCAGGGGTGTAAAAAGTACTGAGAAATTGTACTTGGGTACAAAAAAAAGTACATAGTCAACCCCCCAAAAATATTTTTTTCATTTTCTTAGCTTTTCTAAATTGACTTAACAGTAGAGATTTCCCCTTGTAGTGTTTTTGATGCAATTTTTTTTTTAAGAAACCTGTTAAAAATCACTGTTTTCTTGTTTGGTTTCTCATTGATAGTGGGGAAAATATATTTTAATAAAAGAAAATATAAAAGAATATATAAAGTTATGTGAGCATGAACTACTTGCTTGTGACAAGAAATAATTTTTTCATTGAGGAAAGATTTAAGTCCTGATGACGTGTGTTTTGTACTTTTAAGTCTGCATGAAATTTTATACGAGTAAAAATATTCAGTTTTAACAGTACTGTTGTAAAGGTCAAATTCTCCAAAATAATACTTTAGTAGTGAACTATTACTCCAATAATTTAAATCTCTGATGGCATTAAATGGTGACTGGTGCTATCAAGCTGTGAAATAAAAAAAAGCACAAATGTTTCATTCAATTCTTTACACTGTATAGAGTGACGTAAGAATGACTCGTGAATACAACATCTCTAATGGTGCCATAAGGACTTGAAATGGATATTCTTAGATATTCTTTTAAAAGTCGTCCTTTGTGTTCCTTGGAAGAAAGTAAAGTGCTTAAGGTGAGTAAATGAGGGGAATTTTCATTTTTTTTCCCCAATCAAAACCGTGAATCAGATGTGTTATACTAATTTGTGAATAGTAACACCATGTACTCCTGTAGGCAAAGCTGTGAATTGACTTCCAAGACCTGAAACCTATACTTTACACCGTCTGAGTCATTTCACAGCGTGGTCTAGTAAAATGCGTGGTATTCATCTTTTCAGATGCTGTGTAATTTTCAGTGTTCACTGAGTTTTATATAGAAACCTTGTGCGTTCCTGAGTTACTGTTACTCTCAATTCAGCAAGTGCAAAGGTTAAAGGAATGAAGGGTTTTCGGTTTATCCTAAACTGAAAGGCCAGGTCTTGCACACCAAATGGGTATCATGTAGCATTTTTCCAGTTTTAGCTCTTTGTACCTCACACACACACACATCTCCTGTGTGTTTAGGACGAGACTGTTATCCGAGAGTTTGCATCATTTGAGCAGCTCTGGGTAAGCACCTATATCAGTGTCTGTCTTAGACAAGTTTGGCTTTAGCTGCAAGATGACTGGCTGGCCTGCTACTGCAAACTGCAATTTGATTGGCTTTTTTTTAAAAGGACTGACACGCTGCTTGCCTTATCTTCTAAATTAACCTAATATTATAGCTCACTGTAAAATATTTTAGACTACAGTAAGGTTTCATTTAGCATAACACTTGCACAGCATTTAAAATGTATGATAATTTCGACATTTGCATACATTTTTAAAAGTAAAAGTTGTTAACAGTTACTGTAATTAGTGCACTAACATGAACAATTTTTGTAAAATTATAAAAATAATAGTATTTTTATTAGCTAGCTTTTACAAAGAATAAGTGTAAAAAATACATAGCTGATTATTAGTTTATGTTAGCTAAATTAACTAATGTTAACAAATAAGGTGGCTATAGCAAGTTAATATTTGCATTTCTCTAAAACTGGACTGCTGTTTGAATGTTTAGGAACATGCTGTAATAAATTCACTTAACATTTTAGATGAAGCACCTTGCTTTTCTAGATGGACCAGATCTGTGCTTCTCAACTGATGGGTCACATCTCAAAAATAGGTGACTGGTCTGTTCTGATAGCATTATGGTCAGCAGAAACGAATGTAAAATGTGATTAATAAAATATAGCTAACCAAGGACAGGAAACCTTTATGATGTATAGAAATCAAAAAGGTCAGTTTATGCTATTAGCTTATAGCATGTTAGCATATTTGAGTCTTGGCAGTTCATAATAATATTGTTAGATTTCAATTTTTGTACAATAACCAGTTTTGGGGCCGTGTTAGTTGTCACTTGATATCCAATGCAAAATAGTGAAAATCTTGCCTGAAGTAAAACCAGTTGAGAACCACTGGTCCAGATTTTTCTTCATTCATTCTCTGTCCTCTGTGAATTATATTCTTCTTCCGTTCATATCTACACCCTGTAATCATTGTCTCTCATTCTTTCATTCACTGTTTTCTTCTATCTACTTCCTGTTTCCCCCTTCTCCTGTCTGTAGGAGCCTGTCTTTTCTTCCACCTACTCTCCTCCTCCTCTCCCATCTACCCCAAAATGCCAATATGTAGGACAACAAGGCCAGGTAAGAGGGAGCCGTGTGCATTTTGGAACCATTTCATTTCTAACAGAACTCTACGAAAGGTCTGAATTTCCTCTTTGTTTGTCTGTTCCATCCTTGTGCCACCAGATAATCTGTATTAGTCTAGAATGTTCTAGACTAATACACTATAATACACACGGTTCACTGTGGATGATAGTAGAAAACACAAATTTCTCTGACAAAAACAGGCAGCACAGCCACATTTCTGTAGATTTACTCAGGGCAAATGCATTCATTAAATAAGTGTTGGCGGCATAAATGCGTAAATCTAATTTAGATGGAAATGCAGAGCACTTTGAGTAAGGATTACTGCATTTTTGGCTTTTGCTGTTGACTGGCAGATTTCAGTACTGTATGAACAGCAAAGAGGATAGACATATTCTAATGTTTTAAAAGCACTTTTGACATGGGCTGTACAATTTGAGTTTGCTCGTGTGAATTATCTGTCCATTATGTCTAAGTCGTTGGTCTTTCCTTCCTGTAAATATATCAGAATGATCTATAACATCATATCTGTTTTGTCTCATGTAATCAGAAGCTTGAAGAGGGAGAGGAGCAGATGTCCATTGAAGAAAGGAAGCAGATGATCTCGACGCAGGAGGAGGCGTGGCAGAGCACAGGGAGGGGCGTGGCCAATGACTCCGGCCAGTACACTGTGGCTGCCAGAATGGTGAAAAAAGGTTAGGATGTGCAAACATACATGTCAGGGTTATTATCCTTAAATGTATAAAAGCTTTTGCTAAATTTTCATTAGTTTAAGAAAAAATAATCTGAGATTTAAAATACTTTTTTTGGTTTCAAAACTAACTAAAAATAAAATCCTGTAAAAATGCTCTCAAAATAGTAACACTAAAAAATTATACTTATTGAATTAAAAAATAAAATAAAACATTTTAAGTGAAGCTAACTTAAATTGAAATAAAAAATGAACAGTAAAAATAGTTAAAAATAAAAACTGTATATAAAGAAATTATATAAACCTCTACTTAAATACTCAAAGACGAGACGCCCAATTTGGGGTCTGCAGCAAATTCAATTTACAAAAGTGATTTTATATACATAGAAAGCATATTAAATGCAAGTAAAGTGTCTACTTGATGTTTCAAATAACTTTTGTAAAATGAAATGTCAAAATATGGGTGAAATAATGTTCCATCATCATTCAGCGTAGCAGATATAGTAATGTAAAAATGAAACAACATACTCTGTCCTGTACTTATTAAAATATATAAAAGAAAAAGCAATCATACTAAATTTGTATTATATTTTAAATTATTAAAAGAATTTTGCTGACAAATGGATAAAACCAAGTGGTTTGAAGGATAGTGGCAAAGATAATTAATTGGTTTTGAGGGGCTGAACGATGATCGTTAAATAGAGTCTAAGATGATTCTTGTTCTAAATATGCCTGACAAGATTTTTGCTATATACGCTATTGTTACACTGAATGACATTTGTGACCCTGGACAATTTTTCAAAATTGAGATTTATACATATGAAAGCTGAATAAATAAGCTCTCCATTGATGTATAGTTTGTTAGGATAGGACAATATTTGGCTGAGATACAACTATTTGAAAATCTTGAATCTGAGGGTTCAAAAAAATCTAAATATTGAGAAAATCACCTTTAAAGTTATCTAAATTAAGTCCTTAGCAATGCATATCACTAATCAAAAATTACGTTTTGATATATTTAGGGTAGGAAATTTACTAAATATCTTCATGGAACATGATCTTTACTTAATATCCTAATGATTTTTGGCATAAAAGAAAAATCTATAATTTTGACCCATACAATGTTTTTTTGGCTATTGCTGCAAATATACCCCAGCGACTTAAGACTGGTTTTGTGCTCCAGGGTCACATTTTACTGGCTGCCTTCTCTAAATCATGGTACAAATGTATAATAGTCATTATTTTTTAATCAGCCAAATCATAAATGTTTGTTAAACTTTTATTCAATTTATATATACATTTAATTTAGATTTTTTTATTTTATTACATAGAACAGCATTACATAGGTAGCATACTTATTTTCTGTCTGTCTCTTACCTGACAGGTCTGGCTGCTTCCTCTGCAGTGATCAGCCCTATTTTGTCTCCAGTCTCTGCTAAACTGAAGAGCAGTATGCCAGCTATCTCGAAACCACAGGAAGGTACATTCGACAAACACACACTTCATGAAAGAAGATATTCCTCTTTGGAAGACACAAAGTTTGAGAAAGTTTGTTGTTGCACCATAATAACTGGGGCAAAAACCTGATGTGCTGCAGAAATTGAGGCCAGAGCAGAGATGGAATCTGATAAGAAGCTGGAAAAGCTGGAGACGTTTTTAGGTCGTTTGAACAGTAAAGGTGGGTTGTTTTAATGCAAAATCTCTTCACTTGTATTTTTTTTTTTTTTAGAAGAGGATGCTATGAGCCCGCCTCCCTTTTCAGAAGAGTGCGGAGCTTCACGGTTTAACTGGTGGTGACCTCACATTGCTTCCAAATGCAATTTTTAACTACCACATTCCTATTTACGATCGTTCTGGTAGCACGTGAAGGCAGCATGAGTGAAAACAGGCAGAGACAATGGTAGCTTTAGCAACATTAGCCTTACAGAGAGCCAAGAAGCTCTTTTGGAAAACAAAATATGACGTGTGATGCTTACTTTGTCTGGAGTCTGGACATTTGTGCACAAAGCGTTAGTATCGATCCCTCTTTCAGAAGCAAACTTTGCACAACTCCAGCGCTGAACTGACCCTCGTTTGTGAGGCAGTCCGGCGTAAGATGTTAGCACAAACGTATAGGACTTTTCCGTTTTTTTTCCCGGGACATTTCCTTCGAAAATGAAATTTAACCACCGTGTCCTCAGCGGTCTATGGAGACTCCTATGTTCGTTGGTGCATCCCAACACTTGACACTTTTAATGGCTCTTTGGCGTTGACATTGTACCTCCAGCAGCTCCTGCAAGAAAACAGTAATGGTTTCTGGTTTCCGCTGCTTCTCACTCAGGGCTGTGTATATGCTAATAGGGCAGAGAGCGTCACAAATGGGCGGGACTTTCCCCGAGTATGACGTCATAGTAGTGAGAAATCTGGAACTGCTAGTGTGGACAGACTGTTTATGATTTATTGGGATTATAAAACAATGGTTGGGTGGATTTTTACCATTATAGGCTGGTTGTTTTCACACTGCGGCCACACAACTGTGTTCAAACACCTTATAAAAGTGATTTTTGCATTCTGTGGCACCTTTAACTAAAAATATTTTCAACATTTGAAATAAAGCTAAAAATAATATAGAAATATTAGATGAAAAACTAAAATATCTGAATTTTTTCCCCTTGATAAATAACTGAAAAAAGTTCCGCTTGAAGTATTAAAATTGCTAAAACTAAAATTGAAATAAGCGGGACTTTCCCCGAGTATGACTTCATAGTAGTGAGAAATCTGGAACTGCTAGTGTGGACAGACTGTTTATGATTTATTGGGATTATAAAACAATGGTTGGGTGGATTTTTACCATTATAGGCTGGTTGTTTTCACACACTGCGGCCACACAACTGTGTTCAAACACCTTATAAAAGTGATTTTTGCATTCTGTGGCACCTTTAACTAAAAATATTTTCAACAATTGAAATAAAGCTAAAAATAATATAGAAATATTAGATGAAAAACTAAAATATCTGAATTTTTTTCCCTTGATAAATAACTGAAAAAAGTTCCGCTTGAAGTATTAAAATTGCTAAAACTAAAATTGAAATAAAAATAAAATGAATCTAAATAAAAATATTAAAATAATAAAAAAGTCGATGGAACTCTCAACTTCTCGTATACATGGATCTAATGTGAAAACTGTAAATTTATGGCATTCAGCTTCTAATGTTGTCAGATTTTCTAAAATCTTTGTAAATTATTTTATTGCTATTTATTTATTTATTTATTTTTTATTATATTATTACTATTTATTTATTATATATACATATTTTTATTTTATGATTATTATAAATTTTTATTTTATTTTTTTTAAAATCTACCAGGGTTGGGTTGGGGTGGGATTCTAAATTTGCACAGTTGCTGTTTGTTTTATATTACTATTCCCAGAAGAAAATTCAATAAACAGTTGTTAACAAAAAAATAATAAAAAATAATAAAATTAAACAAAAATTTAAATGAAAAGTATAATTATTAAAAATATGAAGTACTATAATAATATATAATGCTGCTATAAATAATAGTAATAGTGCTAATATAAATTTAATAGTAGTATACAAATAATTCTAAAATAATATTGCTTCATATATACCTATTTTTTTTATTAAGAACAACATATAAACAATGAAGGAAAGAAAAGGGAAAAAGTGAAAGGGATGTATAACTAATCAGAACTAATTTTTTTTATACAAAAAAAAAAAAAGTGAATTAGAAATCATTTATAAATACTGCTGTTCAGCAAGCAGAACATAAAAAAAATAGTTTCTGCTTTGAAAATTTGCATTTTCATGAATACAATTTTGCTAACTAAATAAGAAGATTAAAATATACTTAATTTTCTGTTGTAATGTTGTTTTTAACATGTTTTCCAGTGAGCAAGAGCTCCAGTTTGTCGGATGCAGCTCTGGCTGGTTTGGCCAGTAAAGAGAGCTACAGCAGCGTGAGTCTGCGCAGTGTCAGTGTCTCAGAGCAGATGACCAATAACAGCGCAGCGCCCTACAAAAAACTCATGCTCATGCTGGTCAAAGGTCAGTCCTCTAACACTGTCTCCTAACCAGGCATGATGTGATCCGTGGAAAGTTTTTTTTTCGATCGCATCAAGCTGGAAAGCCCCGCCCACAGTGAAATCCTATAAGTCCAAACATCAAATAGGTTCTGATCAGCTTTCTGAGAAAACAGAACAATTATTTAACTAGCATTAAGCCTGGCATATCAAATATGATATAAATAGTAATATTGTGATATTTTACTGCAGTATGTGTTTTAGTGGCTGAGTGTGTTAAACTGTGCATAAATGTTCTCCAGGTCGACGTCATGTCCAGACCAGACTAGTGGAGCCTAGAGTGTCCTCTCTGAACAGCGGTGACAGTTTTCTGCTGGTTACGCCTGAGCATTGCTTCGTTTGGATCGGAGAGTTTGCAAATGTCATTGAAAGAGCCAAGGTACCATCTGACTTCTTATGCACGCCATTCTTCATATCATCATATAGCTTTGTACTTCACTGCTATGTTGTTCCATTTGACATCCAGGCATCAGAACTGGCCACTTTCATCCAGCTGAACCACGACCTTGGTTGTCGAGCTGCACTGGTAGAGACGATCGAAGAAGGAGTGAATGCTCAAAGCCCTGCAGCTGCTGAGTTCTGGAAGATCCTGGGAGGACCGGCCAACTACCACTGTATGTACCCTGAAATAGATAGCGTTTATGTACTATTATCTTACTTGAAAGGAATAATATTTTTCTGTGTGTGTGTAATGATCACAGCGGCCGGGTCTCCAGACGAGGATGAGATGTTTGAAAGTGCCATTGTGGAGACAAACTGTATCTTCCGTCTTGTGGACGATAAACTGCTTCCTGATGATGATTTCTGGGGGAAAGTGCCTCGTAGTTCACTTTTGGGCTCTAAAGAGGTCATATTTTGTGACTTTTTGAGGTTTTATATATTGTGTTAATATCTTCATGCATTATTTCATGTTTTCATTAAATGTGGAACATTTTAACATTCTTTGCATTTTGCCGGTATCTGTGTTTTACTATTATAATTATTTAAATATTAATAATAAACTATGTATCTAACTGTTTATTAGTATGATTTATATTATGTAACTGAGAATAAAACATTTAGAACATTGTTTTTGTATTTTTTGTAGTATTTTGCATATTTTGACATTTAATTTTTGAACATTTGAACTTTTTCTTCATTTTGCACATTTTATTTGAATATATGGGAATCATGAATATATATTTTTTTCTTGGCTCTCTTTTCCACATTAGGTGGTAGTGTTTGATTTCGGTAGTGAAGTGTACGTGTGGCATGGTAAAGAGGTCACATTGGCACAGAGGAAGGTGGCGTTTCAGCTGGCCAAGCACCTTTGGAACGGGACGTTTGATTATACCAACTGTGACATCAACCCTCTGGATCCTGGAGGACACAACACGCTCATACCGAGGTGCGCACATAAGATTCAGGAGATTACTTAAATTGATTATTAAGTTTCTCACACACACCAATTATCCACTTAATTTTGAGAATTTCAATGTAAAGTTGTGTGTGTGGTTATTTTTTAGGAAAGGTCAAGGTCGCCCAGATTGGGCCATGTTTGGCAGACTGACCGAACATAATGAAACATGTCTTTTTAAAGAGAAGTTCCTGGACTGGAAAGATGCTTCTAGACTGTCACCTAAAAATGTCATCGAGCACCCCTTCCAGCAGAAGGTGGGTTTCTGTGTGTGTCAGTACCTGCTTTTGGTTCAAAGAAAAGCTGCAAAACATAAAAGGAAAAATCCTTTGACTTTTTTTTTTTATTATTAGGAATGTGAATTGTGAGCAATGTACTTATTCTGATAATGATTTCCCTTCATCATTGTTTGTAATTATGAACCAATTATTGAATATCAACACTATTGGAAATGCAGAGTCAGAAAGATTTTTTTGAAAAGTCATTTCTGTTCTGTCCAAAGCTAAATTTTTTTGATCACAGTACAGTACAGTAAAAACAGTCATATTGTGAAATTTTTACAGTATAAAATAATTGCTTTATATTCTAATGTATTTTAAAATAAAAAAAAATTTTCCGGTGATGTCAAAGCTGAATTTTCAGCATAATTTCTTGAAAACGGTTGTGCTGCTTAATGTTTTTTATGGAAACTGTGATAATTTTTTTCAAAATTCTTTGGTGAATAGAAAATTTAAAAAGAACAACATGTTTTAAAGGAATTTCAAAAACATTTCTGTGTTTTCTGTCACTTTTGATTAATTGAATGTGTCTTTGTTAAAGTATTCATTTCTTACAAAAAGATTATACTGACCTCAATCTTTTGAACTTGTCTAAGAATTATAAGGATTATAATGACTTATACTGTCTTTTTACGCGTTGCGTTGCATCGTGCCGCGTAAATAGTTGTGTCCTCTTTTGGAAGACCAAACAAAGTAGTTTCGCTTTCACAACGAGAAACACAGCGCCTTCACGACATGGCGACAGCAACAAAAATACTACAGCGAGAATAAAAGTTACGCCTTCTTTCTTTGCGTGAACATTTGGGCGGCGTTATGCATAACGGATGATAAACGGACGAACATTTGGGCGGCGTTATGCAAATCTTCCCACATAGTGACGTAGATATGTGGGGGTGTGTTAGAACGAGCCGTTTTAGGTAGGCGTGGCTGACTCTTAACTTTTATAAAGAATATCTCTTTGGATTTGAGACTTTAGTCTTTGCAACTTTACAGATCTTCTTTATGCACCAAGAGCTTGTAACACTCCAAAGAGAAAGGAAAACATTTAAATCTCATCATATGACCCCTTTAAGCACAACTTTTCTTTCCTTTTTTTTCATTTTCTTATTCTCTTCTTTAAACCGCTCTTCTTCCCTTCTCAGGAGTCTCCGGGCACAGATTCCCATTCTGAGTGCCGGGCGTACAGCGCCTCTCTGATGCTTCCGGTCTTGCAGTCGCCCATCAGTACAGTTCTGGACGGTCAGAATGTGGGTCGAGGACACGGTCCGGTGGAAAATGGCTCAGACGACTGCATGCGCTCTCTGGAGATCAGCACGGTCTCTGTTGACGTCTGGCACATTCTGGAGTTCGACTACAGCCGACTGCCCAAGCAGAGCATCGGCCAGTTTCACGAGGGAGATGCTTACGTAGTGAAATGGAAGTACATGGTGAGCGCAGCAGGTTAGTAACGGCACCGGGACAAATGAACTTGCCTGTCCATGGACATTGTGTAGTAAAATATGATTAAACATCAGAGAGTTTATCAGAATAATTTTAATACAGTTTGCTCTTGGTTAGAAGACTGTTAGGACTGACATTATGCAGTAAGCAGGAAAATTCTATTGTAGAAGTATAGAATGCACCCTCTTTTCATATGCTGGTATAAAACTGTCAGTGCTCTCCTCTAAGAGTGTTATTGGATGTGTGTGTCCATGTGCAGTGGGCAGCAGGCAGAAGCTGGATCCGGTGCGCAGTGCAGGTCCCGGCAGGGAGAAGTGCTGCTATTTCTTCTGGCAGGGCAGAAACTCGACGGTCAGTGAGAAAGGAACATCTGCGCTCATGACTGTTGAACTGGATGAAGAGAGAGGAGCACAGGTAGGATGAGATACTGCTCTAAACGCACTTGACTGATTTCTGCTTCTCTCATTCGCTCACTCAATGCTTCTGTGACTCGTATTCAGATGCAGGTCCAGCAGGGGAAGGAGCCGCCCTGTTTCCTGCAGTGTTTCAACGGAGGGATGATTGTGCATTCTGGGAAGAGAGAAGAAGAAGAGGAGAACATTCAGAGTAAGAGGATCGCATATTTGCAATGCCCCTGTTCAGTCCAAATTTTGGGTTTGTTAGGAACAGTGATGGTTTGTAAGTGATGTATGTAATCTGAATTATGTAATTAGATTCCAAAATTAAGTACTTGTTATTAGATTATACTACTTTCTTAAATAGTCATAAGACTACAGTTAAGTTTTTATTGATTAAATGATTGCATATTATTATATGCTGTATCCCACAATGCATGTAACCTTTCATTGCCTTAGGTCACAGGGGTCCCAGAAGCAATTTTTATCTCTTTTATGATCATACATTAAGATGTTCTTACAAAATATTGAATAAAAAAAATTCAAAAACAGCTGTTTTTAATACATAATTTGTGTGTAATGAGCGCATGTGAGAACAGTATAGTAACATATTATAGTTTGAAGCATTTAGTCATGCAAATAGCTTCAAGTACATTTATTCAATTAGTGTACTGTGCAAGAAGCTGTATGTCAGTGTATTAATATTTGGCTGTTTGTCCCCCTGTAATCTGTGTTTCAGATGACTGGCGTCTGTACTGTGTGCGAAGTGAGGTGTCTGTAGAGGGCCATCTGCTGGAAGTGGCATGTCACTGCAGTAGTCTGCGATCACGCACATCAATGGTCCTTCTGAACATCAACAAAGCCCTGATCTACCTGTGGCACGGCTGCAAAATGCAAACGCACACACGGCATGTCGCTCGAACTGCCGCAGAGAAGATAAAAGAACAGTGAGTCATTCATGCATTTAAGGATAACTTGGTTTCCTTGTAATTTACTTCTACACATTTATACTTTAGTATACTGAGTTCAGAGCATACGCTAGCATTCAAAAGCTTGGGGGTCAGAAAGATTAAAAAAAAACATTTTACATTGTGTAAAAAAAATGTTATGATTGAAATCTGACTCGTATATGTGTTTCCTAGACGGCCACTGGAGGCGGGACTTCACAGTAGCTGCAATGTGACCATTCATGAATGTGAGGAAGGTGGCGAGCCAGTGGAATTCTGGGAAGCGTTAGGCAGGAAGGACCGCAAGGCCTACGACTGCATGCTTCAAGGTACAACACACTGGAGGAGAGTGGGACTGCATGATTTTGGAAGTTTGTTGATGATCTTTCAGACAATAATGCATCTCTAACATACATAGGAAAAAAAAAATCTGCAACATAATAAAAAAGAATCGTAAATCATAATTATGACATTATAAAAAATTTCATAATAATTATGACAAGTAGAAAAATGAAAATTAGCAATCAAAATTTAAGTCAAAATTAACGTTTTTGTTTTAGTATGACAAACATGACTTGTCATCATTTTGACCATTTCTCAGAATTTTTGGCATAATTTTGACTTTGTTTTCAACATTTTATCTCACAATTCTGACTGATTATGAAATTATGATTTACTAAAGCATAATTTTTTTCTTAAGTGGTGGAAATGGGCTCACATATGTTCACAAGCCATACTACAAATTAATATAACCAAGAATTCATAAACTTATCAGTTAGACGCAAACAAGTCTTTTTTTTTTTCTCTGCTTCATCTAACTTTTTTCTGTTTTTATTTCAATATTTCTCACTTTTTTCAGACCCTGGCAAGTTTAACTTCACCCCGCGTCTGTTCCAGCTCAGTAGTTCTTCGGGTGAGTTTGTGGCGCTGGAATTTTTCAACCCATCCAGAGCCGCAGACTTTGATTGCTCCCTGCCGTTCCTGCAGGAGGATCTGTACTCTGCCCCTCAGCCAGGTAAAAAGAAATGACACACATGAACTCTTTCTCTCAGGCTGGAAACAATGAATCATAAATAATGATGCATGCTTTTCTCCCCCTCTGTCTGTTTCTAGCTCTGTTCCTAGTAGATAACTATCATGAAGTTTACCTGTGGCAGGGCTGGTGGCCGCAGGATACTGAGAGTACTGGTTCTGCCCGCATCCGCTGGGACGCAGACAGGAAGTGCGCTATGGAAACAGTGTTGCAGTACTGCAGAGGTGATTGACAGCCTTATTGGCCTATCATCTTTTAGTTCTGTCAGCAAACCGGAAATGTGCATCTGAACCAGCAGCTTGTAATGTTGTATGCTGCTTCACATACAGTTTCAAGTCCACATATGCTGTGAATACAGATAACTGACCCCTCTCTTTGTCTAGCAGAAAAGAACGAGAAGAAGCCTCAGAAGTCATACTTGATCCATGCTGGATTAGAGCCTCTGACCTTCACAAACATGTTCCCCAGCTGGGAGCACAGAGAGGACATTGCTGAAATCACAGAGAGGGTAAGATGCTGAACATGTGTTGCATTTCTGTCCTTGATTACAACGAAATTTGAAAATCAGAAAGCAAATTTTTGGTTTAGGCAACACATAAATCATTGACTGAAACGGTGACGTTAAATTAGTGTGTTTAAAGGGATAGTTCACCCAAAAACTTTAAACTTCAGCATTTACTCACCCTCAAGTTGTTCCAAAACAAAATATTCGTTATACAAATTTCAAAGGTTTTACTCTTTGTAAAATTTTAAGTGTGTATGTGCAGGAGGCAGAGGTGTGTAACCAGATCATTCTGGTGGAGGATGTTCTGGCTCGACTGTGTCAGAGTATTTATCCTCTAGCAACACTGCAAGCCCGTCCCCTTCCCCACGGCGTCGACCCGCTGAGACTCGAGATGTACCTGGCCGACGAGGACTTTGAGGTAACGGCATACACTTCTATGAGAGAGATCACCTGTGCATCTTGGGATTGGTGTAAAAATAGAAAACCGATGCAAAAATAATCTGAATAATATATATACTTTTTTTTTTATTGTTTATAAGACAGGAACAATATATAACAACATTAGTGTACAGTATACAGACTTAAGAAATATAACTAGCAAACAATCTATAATTAAAAAAAAAAAGGTAATAAAGTAACAAAAACTCAATCTAGAATTCAAAACTTATGAGAAATTTAGATTTATGTGGAAAAACAAAATAACCAATTATGTACCCCCCCCCCCCCCAAAAAAAGATTGATTCTGTTTAGCCAGTTTTTACTACTGTATATTAAATTGTTTCAGTTCTTTTTTTTATCTTTTAAATTAAATTGCCAAATAGAATTGGTTAAGCAGGTTGCTCATCCTATTAATGATTTCTTAAAGTATGACATGACTAGATACTAAGAATGGAATGTTTTGCCGTTTTAGGCGGGGTTGTAGGGAATTCTGAGTGGGTAAGTATCTCTGATATGGACTGAAGTCACTGGGAGAGATACAGTATGTTTCTGTGGCACTGTTTCCTAACAGCCTCACTTTTATGCTTAATTTTTCTTCCTGTTTCTTGCACACTTTGGACTTCTCTTGTCCAGCTGAATCTTTGAGAACTTTTTGATCAAATCACACAAGCACACATGCATGCACAGAGCACACACACAGTGTGAACAGATTTTATCCAAGATTTGCAAGATGTTTTTCCAGCAATATAATTTCTGAGAATAATATACTGAGAGCACAGTGTCTTAACTAGGCGTGACATGATAAACATATAATAAATCATATCTCTTCCACATTACTGTCACACAGATAGCTATTTGCTGTGACAAAGCTACCAAAGGTCACTCATTTTCAGTGAGATTTGGCCATTTAAGGAGATGGAGACCCCTGGACCAATGCACATTAAACCGCCAACTCTGATAAAGTCTATATATTTGTGTTTTTTTCCAGTCCAGCAAGACTGCATATTTGTCTGGTCTTAATTTAGACGATCACGGTCTATGTGCATGTAAATTCAACAATCGTCGGCAAACCAGTGGTCCTGCCCCAAATTCAGACCATTGGTTGAATAGATTATTCAATCCATGATTGGCTTGCTTAAAGTCGTCTCTGCACATTAAACTGTAGTACGATTTTTAATACAATGTACATCCTTTCCAATCTAGATTTCTGCACAAGCATCAATGGCATGCTGAGTAGCCCCGCCACAGTCAATTCTGATTGGTCCAAAGTCTCTCTCCTGTTATCTGTACAGTATATGTCAGTTTTTTGCTATTTGACTGTGGTTTAAACACAATGTGCCTAGCTAAGACACAGTGTAACGGTAACCATTTTCTCACTTTTCTGCAAATTTAAGATGGTTTGTGCGAATATACAGTACACTGCCATTCAAAAGATTGGGTTCAGTAAGGTTTATTTATTTTTAAAGAAATTAATGCTTTTATTCAGCAAGGATCCATTCAATTTACCAAAAGTGGCAAAGCAAAGACATTTACAAAATATGTCTGTTTCAAATAAATGCTGTTCTTTTGACCTTTTTCTATTCATCACTAAAGACTGGAGTAATGATGCTAAAAATTCAGCTTTGTATCACAGGAATAAATTACCTTTTAATATATTTATTTAACATAGAAAACAGATATTTTCGATTGTAATAATATCTTATAATATTACTGCTTTTTGTGTTTTTGGTCAAATGAGTGCACCCTTGGTGAGCACAACAAACTTTTTTTCTTTTTTTTTTTTTAAATCTTACCAACCCCAACATTTTGAACCTTAGTGTATGTGTATTTATGTGCCTATGTGTTTCTCTCTTTTCACTCGTTACAATATTTTCTGTGTTCTCAGCGAGTGTTAGACATGAAGAGAGAAGAGTTTGACGCTCTGCCTGGATGGAAGCAAGTGAACCTAAAAAAAGCCAAAGGACTCTTTTAGAAACCTGACTAAAGTTGTCACGGTGACAGAATTATCACTGTCCATTTCCTTAATGGCCACCGGTTCTGCGCTCACCTCAGCATTTAGACCTCTTTTGGTTAAGGGAGGTGGTTGTGCACTGAGAACAGTGTAAACGGTCAGGTCAAAGGTCACTTTAGGATCTACAGTTTTACCTGCTGTGGCGTCCACTTTTGATGTATTTCTGAAGTCTGTGGAGGTGATGTCTGTGTTTGTCTCCTCACCACATTCATGTACGACGATTTGCTGTTGGTGAGCAGTGCGTTTGTTCATGTAACATCTAAAACAAGTATGTTTAGTACATGAAATCAATACACATCTTCCCATTCGGTACGATCTGCGATGGGTTTTTGTTGCAATGTGTGTTTATGTTTGATAAGTCTGCTGAATAATTGGAAATTGTATAAACTTTGTAGCAAACAATGAAGCAGCTGAAAATCCTGTGATCGCTCTAAATGTTGTCATATGTCTTAGAATATTCTTTTTTGATCCAAGAGGAGTTTACATGCTGCGTCTGTAATTTTTTGTGTGTGTGGTATTCTCGTGTGAATGGCTGTTGGTTGTTGTGCCGGTCTCTCTGTCTTGAGGTGTGAGGGACATCATGTTTGTTTGTATTCGGACAGCATGGAATAATGGACGAGAGTAAGAAAAGATATTAATTTAAATGTACAGTATAGTGCCTTGCTTTTGTGTACAGTTTCTATACCAAACACACACTAGTCTGCATTTCAGAGACTTTCTTTTGTGATAAAAGAAATGGTGAATAAAGAAAGCGCATTAAAAATCTTTTTTTGTCGAAGTTCATATATAACTTCTTACTGATTCTAGGGCAACATGGAACAAAACCGGCTACAGTAGTGGAAAAAGTATGTATTTATTAAGGTCAATATTCAATTACACATGTTTTATCATTTTTTAATCGGTGTCAACACGGTCAAAATCTAAAAGGAAATATTTTGAATCTGTTAAAAAAAGATTTGTTTTTAAAATGAACCTCTATGGACATTCTTGCTGGTTATAGGTTTTCTTCTAATGACGTCTATATTTCCATTTTTCTTTCATATATAATGGTGTCATCATTTTGGTAAATTAGATGAAATTAAGCATTTGTGTTAGGCGTCTCCGACTCCGATTAATTTAAATGTGAAAGTATTTTGTCAGTATGAAGTACTGTAGCCTGTTGCGAAATGTGGTTTGTTTTGCTTGTGTGTGTGTGTGTGTGTGTGTGTGTGTGTGTGTGTGTGTGTGAACGCATTCAGTTTCAATATAGACTACAGTTCATGAGATGATAAACCCAGAAAGATGTTGCTCACTCAAGGCGGGTCTCACTTGAAATGAAAAGTTGAAGTATCATCATTTCAGGACAAACGCTCAGGACTACACAGCGATGCTACAGGTAAATGATTCTGAAATTCCTGACTTTGCAATTATACGAATAGTGAAATACTTCTAATAGTAAAATAAAGTGTACTTCGTCTATGAATCTCCATCGCCAAAGACGACGCGAAAAAAGCCTTTATAACGTTTAGAACAGTACACTTTGTTGTAAACTCATTTTAATCGCATTTATTATATATTTTAAATTTACTCAACACGGATAAAAAGCAAAACTAAACCATGAGTTAAAAATGTAGGCCTACTTTAGTTTTTTTTTTCTTTTTTTTTCAATTCTTTTGGTTCATGAAAAGCTTGTCAACCTTAATTCAACATAACTAAGGTCGTAATTTAGGCTTACTCCATGCCGACAAAGGATGTAGTCCTTAATTTTACTAGTTGTTCACGTGTTAATATTACTGTTACTAATGTAAAATAATAATTAACAGTAACGCGTTCAAGAAGTTTTCAGACCCTTTCTGCCATTGTTTATAAGCTACTGCACATCGGTTTTACCGATGTGACAGCTTTTGAAACTATGGTTACCATGGTAACTACTTGTGAAGGAGGTACTTAATGAACAAATGATTGTAGCTAATTGGTCACCCTGTTGAAAAAACCAGCATATGCTGGTTAGGTATGTATTGAAGGACCAGCAAAAGGACCAGCTTAAACCAGCAAAGGACCAGCTTAAACCAGCAAAGGGACCAGTTTAAACCAGCAAAGGGACCAGTTTAAACCAGCAAAGGGACCAGTTTAAACCAGCAAAAGGACCAGTTTAAACCAGCAAAGGACCAGTTTAAACCAGCATCCCAGCGTCAAAACATACCAAACCGGCATATGCTGCTTTTTTCAACAGGGTCAAGTATTTGACACGTACTCATTACTAAATAGTAAAATCTGCTAAATGAGACCTGCTGCTAAAGTAGTGAAACAAAATAATTATTATTTGTTTTCATAATTGACACTTAGCCTAAATGATATCTGTATTTGTCATTACAGTTTCATTTCATTTTCAGATAACAGGAGTGCACCGATTTACTGAAGACAGCAGATGGATATGTTTAAATCTGGTAATTTACAGTCGCATGAAACAGGCCAGTCAGATTAGGGCCGTATATAAATTTTCCTATTGGCCCAGTATAAATATTTCTATAAACTGTGGTTTAAAAATAACATTAGTGACCTGTCTTTCCTTTTCTTTCCCACAGAAGACAAAAGAGGATCTGTGGGGCCTCAAAGTGCTGATGTCTCTCAAATCAGTATCACTGCCCAGAATAGAAGCCATATTTCAGCACCTGTGATATTAAATTCAAGAGTCACTAGAAATATTAACATTGCTAATAATTACTTCACAGGTGTGTGTGTGTGTGTGTGTGTGTGTGTGTGTGTGTGTGTGTGTGTGTGTGTAAGCATCCCTCTATGTTGGTGGAAGTAGCACAGCAAAACACAACTGTAATGCAACTAATATATTATTATACATATTGTAATATTTTGTTTTAACTTTATTGTTTCTGCTATAGGACCTGGAGCTGAAGTCACAGGTTTGTGAATATGTACTTTAATTTACACTACCATTTAAAGTTTTGCTCATATTTGAGATAATGTGGAATGATTTTCGAAGAAAGGAGTGAATGTTTCCGAAAGTTCTTTGAGGACAAAGTTTTCAAGTCAAGTGTATGAGCAGGTGAAGATACACAAAATGCTCTACAACGCTTGCTTCATCCCTGTCATCTGCTGGATTATCTGCACAATTTTCAAGAGAAAAGGACAGGACGGAGTTGTAACAGGTGAGTTGACGACAACCACATCCATATTTGTTGATTTTGTTTTCACACTCCTAAAGCATCACAGTAGTTTGAATCAGCATTAAGAGCTTGACCTCCTCAAGAACCTGGGTCAGATAGCGGAGTGTGGAACGCCGAAACATCAAGTGCTGTTTTCTAGAAACGATCTTCCAAAGGCAATCTCAGATTTACCAAACATTCCCTTCCTATGCACGTTTCGCCAACAAGAGAGAACTTATCTGAAGGAGATGTTTGGGTTCTTGCACCTCAGCTTTCAGGAGCTCTTCACTGCTCTCTTCTACATGTTAACAGACAAGACAGAGGCGAAAATAAAAGTCAAGGAGCTACTGGAATCAGCAGGCAATGAGCATCTCTTACCTGTCATCCAATTCCTTTTTGGTCTCGAACAAGAAAGTGAGCCGTTTAATCCCAGGAGAACATCCAAAGTTGACAACAACCATGTGCTCAGCTGGAGAAATGGATTAGCAAGGTTATAGAGAAAAACATAATGGATGCATTCTACATGAGTGATTTCGTTCTTCATTGTCTGTATGAACTTCATGATAGGGACACACTGAAAAACGTCATGAAGCTTTGGGATCGCTCGGGTGTTAGCATACACTGGTCTTTGAAAGGGGTCGACTGTCAGGTTGTGATGTACTGCCTCCAGTATTCATCACGCATTATCAGTATGGAAGTTAAATGCAATGCAAAAGATCTAAAGATGCTACATCCTGCGCTTTGTAGGTGAACAATTTTATGGTAAGTGTTCTTCAAGCATGCTCTTAGAAACATGAATATGGCGGTACTATTCATATCCCATTGGATTTGCTTGGTATTCCAAAGAATACCTTCACAGTAGTGTCCCAAAAATATTGTTACTATCATATCATCTTCTAAAAACCTTGCCATGTATTCTCATTATTGTTCTCTTTATTATATCAGATGTTTGGTTTGCAACATGTGTTTTTTGTTGTTGTTTTTTTTTATGCTGATGTTGACCTCCTGACATCAGTCCTGGGGAGAAGGAGGAACGTGGGCTATTTGACGTAATGTGTGAATGTGGATGCACTGCTGTCTTTCCTAAATTGTGTTCCTGGTTTAACTGAGGTGGACATACATTCCGAGTATCTCACAGATATTTGGACTTCCAGGATTCTGTCCTACCTTCAAATCAATCCAAAGATTTCTCACATAAAGTAAGTGGAAAATAGTGTTTACTGTATCTCTCAATTTAGAGCTGATTTACATTTTGATTTCTTTGGCGTGTAAATTTACTTATTAATTTAAGTTCAGTAATTCAGACTGATTTGTTTTTTTTAACACATTCTTGATCTTTTAGGTTTCATGTAAGCAATCTCATGATTAGTAATGAGGAAAGGGTCTGTTCAACATTTTCAGTCTCTAGAAAGCCATTTGAAGCGCAAGTCATCCTTTCTTTTTGTTTGACTTGATCAACGTTTAACCATTTAACTTGATTAACTGTTGGTAAAATCTATTGCAGGTACAAGACATCAGTGAAAGGAAAAATCCCTCATTGAGTCTTGCAATGGACAGATGGGCTTATGATATTGCGTAAAAATTCATGCATGACATGTTCTTTTAACTTAACCACTTTAACCATTTTATGAAGTTTATTTTAAATTCAGGACAAAGCTCATAACCATTTCAAGGCCTACTGTGTGCACATTTACTGTATGAAAATGAATGTCTTCCAGGATTCTGTCCTACCTTCAAATCAATCCAAAGATTTCTCACATAAAGTAAGTGGAAAATAGTGTTTACTGTATCTCTCAATTTAGAGCTGATTTACATTTTGATTTCTTTGGCGTGTAAATTTACTTATTAATTTAAGTTCAGTAATTCAGACTGATTTGTTTTTTTTAACACATTCTTGATCTTTTAGGTTTCATGTAAGCAATCTCATGATTAGTAATGAGGAAAGGGTCTGTTCAACATTTTCAGTCTCTAGAAAGCCATTTGAAGCGTAAGTCATCCTTTCTTTTTGTTTGACTTGATCAACGTTTAACCATTTAACTTGATTAACTGTTGGTAAAATCTATTGCAGGTACAAGACATCAGTGAAAGGAAAAATCCCTCATTGAGTCTTGCAATGGACAGATGGGCTTATGATATTGCGTAAAAATTCATGCATGACATGTTCTTTTAACTTAACCACTTTAACCATTTTATGAAGTTTATTTTAAATTCAGGACAAAGCTCATAACCATTTCAAGGCCTACTGTGTGCACATTTACTGTATGAAAATGAATGTTTTTTTTTTCAGATCTAGTAGCAATGGAGAGTTGGTACATTCCCATCGACTGGACAAACCAGCACTGGTGAAGCTCAACCTCAGTTCCCTCCTTTTGAAGGATCTAGTGCCAGTTGGGAGGTTCTTTTCAAAAGACTTTACCAACTCATTCAGTTGACAGAACAGTGAGTTTGTGCTTATGGATGTATTATGAAAACTTAATTAAACTGACTTCAGTTATAGATATGTTTTAAAGTTAAAACTTTAAAATTCAGGATTTATAAGAACATGAAGTCATAATAATTTTCAATAGGTATGCTTCATTACAAGGTGATGAATATAAAAAAAGTTCAGTGG